ATTTTTTTTTTGGTACCTAGGATCGAACTGGGGGGTGAGGGGGAGGTGTGCGCGAGGCAGGTGGCGGAACCACTGACCTAAATCCCTGGCCCAGGAAGATTGAGGTTTTTTTTGTTTGGTTTTTTTTTTTGGTACCAGGGATCGAACTTGGGTCCTTGCGCTTGCGCAGCAGGCGACAAAACCACTGAGCTAAATCCCTGGCCCAGGAAGATTCAGTTTTAAGCCAGTCATAGTGGTGCAGGTTTATAATCCCAGTATTCTGGGTTACAGGGGCAGGAGGATCCCAAGGCAATCTAGCAAGACTCTGTCTCAAAATTTTGAGCTGAGGATGTAACTCAGTGTGGGGGCACTAGATTCAATCCCCAGTCCTACAAAAACAAAAACAAAAACAAAAAAAATAAAAAAATAAAGAAAGGAAAGAAAAGGAAAGAAAGAAAAGACAGACTTCCATTTTCAAATCCTGCAGTGATTTATTTTAATTTTTTTCACATATAAACAATTTGAACTTAAATTACTGTGAAGTATTTAATGAGAAAAGAATCTTTGTATACTGAAAGCTTAAGCCTGTTTTGTGGTGACATAGGTATATTAATAGTAATATAAACTTTTTACACAATTTGTCATGCATAATTCTCAGGTATACTAGAATGAGTAGCCCAGTGAGCATCTGTAAACAATTTTGAAATTGGCGCTTACATGCTACAGTAACTGTTGAGCATGTTTACTTTTCCTTGTCTTTAGGAAAAGCTATTAAAACAGTTATAGTAAGGCTATGTAAACTTTATCCCTCCCTTTTTAGTAAGGACCTGATCAGAGTAGTCTTCCCATACCAATGTGAAAATAAATGATAACGTAAACCAAATCTTCTGTAATCCAGGCCTGTCTGAAAGGATACAGATCTATCTGAATATTTTTCACAGATTTGAGTAGGCTTATGGAATTGAGTATTTCCTTTTTTTTCTACCTTAATATATACTGGTACTATCCTTCTTTTAGATATTTCTGTATTCTTGTAGGATTTGAGTGACATGTTATTGCGATATGAAGAAGTAAATTGCCTTCCCTTTTCTGCCACATAGACAGGTGTAGGTTAGTTTTGGAGCATAATCATATATAAATAATCAGGATATAAAATATTTAATTTGCCCAAACAAAGTCTGCTTTAAAGTGGTTAATACAAATATTTTCATATTGACCCCAAATAAGACATGTACTTTGTACTTATATCATGATGAATATTCTTTCTGGATATTGTTCTTTTTCTTCATTGTTAGATTTGTGTGAAGCAATATGGAGAAATCTTTTAAAGAAGTATATCTTGAGGAAAAGTAGTATTGGAAGGGAAGGAAACGATAAATTCTTGTTATTGCATAATATTTATGTACATGTAACTTAAAAGGGTTGAACTGACAATTCACTTAAAAGTAGATTTTCTTTTTTTTTTATTTCCCATGTAATGAAAATGAAGAAAAAAGTGACTTTGTAGGTAGTGTTAGCCAGATCAGTTAATAAATCAAATTATGGTATTGTTTATCCCACAGAATAAACTCATAAAATATATTTAGCATTTATTGAAGAGTTTGCTTTTTCACAAGGATGATTACTCTAAGGAATATATTGATCCAGAAGTTAGAATTTAAAAATAATTTGCAGCCATATTTTCTGGCCAATCTACCATATAACTGCAGTTATTTACTCCGATCTTCACACCTCTCCTATGTCAGAGTCAAACCTAAGGCTTTGTTACAGGGTGTATAATCTTTGACTTCTAATTTAAGCTGTGTCATAGAGCCAACTTATTTTGCTGATGATTATTTCTAATGTTAATCTCATCTGATTTCACTAAATTACCATGCTTGTTTGTATTCTTTTCTAAGATACTTTCTCCACAAATATTTTACCCTTTAGCACTAGTTTTTGTTAGTGGCTAGGGGACATCACTCTGCTTGTCTTCCATCTTAGGTAGTCTGTGGAAAATGAAAGATTTAGAAATGTGACTTGAAGTGAAAAAATTTGGCAACAGCTTTGGGGTGTAGTACAATCTTTGCATAGAAAAATATCACAAGAACACCTTAGTGTTCACTGACCTTTCAAAGGATAGAGACAGTAAAATATCTTCTTTCTTGAATGTCCCAGGATCTCAAGACTGCTACTAGATTCTGTCCTCCTACTTCCATCTCCTTAGTGCTGGGATGACAGGTGCATAGGTGCATACCATTGAGCCCAGCTAGGCATATTCAGTTTTTAAAGGTTAAATTTATTGTTTTAAGCTACTTTGAAGTCCTTATTGATACTTCTCTGTAGAGTGTAAAATTCTTTGAGGGCAGAGAATATGTTTATTGGTCTTTATTTTTCTGCTATTTAATGTGTTTGGAATATTATAGGTCCTAAAATATTCTTTAAATGAGGAAATTATATACAGTTTTTGGATCTTGTCAGAATTACCGAAGGAATCACTATATTCTTTACTTCTTAGTGAAAACAAATAGTATTTTACATAACTCTTTATAACATTGGGAAAATAAATGGCTTCTCTTTTTTTAAATGAAATTTGGTATAAGTGATAAAATAGTCAAATTAAGATGCATTAAATCCCCAGCTCATGAACCAGTTCTGTTCCAGGAGAATGTTCGTATGTCAGATTCTTTCATAATCTGAGAAAGTGAGTCTTATACAGTATACCTATGAGTTTTCCACTTGAATGTTCTTAAGTCAGGGACTTTA